GAGGCGGGGGAAGCCGCGGCGGCGAGGGCCCCCCTTCCCACTCGCCACCCCCGGGGGGAGGCCCCGCTCCGGTCGCCGCCGCCCGGCTGTCGGCACCCCGTCCCATTTCCTCCTTGTGGCCTACCCGCCTCCGCCGGCCGAGCCTGTCCCCGCCCGGCTGTCCTGGGGGAGAGTGGGTCGAGGCGTGAGTCTCCGCGACGGATTCGTACACCCCCTCCCCGCGGTGGAAACGTGTCCTGCTGGGCTTCCGGGCGCTCCCGACCCCCGCGGCCGCTTTACTTGGGAGACTTTGCTTTTGTCAACAGCGTCCGAGCCCGCTCGTGAAACCAAACTTTACTGCGCCGTGACCTCTCCGAGTGCGCGACCGGGGAGAGCCGGTGCTCCGGGGCATCCGCCTTACCCCATCCCCTGAATTTCAAACTCTTCTCCCACCGCCAGTTTTCAAACCGGTTTCCTGGGCTGACAACAAAAGGGCCAGGAGATCTCAATTTAGCTCCAGCAGTCGCCCCTGCTCAGACACTAGGAATCCTGAACCATTAAAGACATGTCTTACAGATGGCTGGCGGTCTTGCTACCCCCGCTCCCCTGCCCTTTGAAAAATTGTTCTGAAAGTAAGCGCCTGATTTAGAGTAGTTGATTCAAACATTCAGATTGGAATGTGGAACTTTAACATACCCTCAAAGTGTTCTCTGTATCCTTAAAGTGTTACTGTGACATACAGTGTCTCCGAGTTGAGCATTTTTCATTCATTTTGAATTACACTTTAACGTCTTTATCATACTACCAGTGAATTAAGGTTTTTAGGCAAAACTGAACCATAAGTTTTTAATATAATGCTTTGGCCGGTAGATGCTGTTCTTAAATTTTCCCAATTTGGGAAATTCACTGAATATTGGAAAAGGCACGTTTAATAGATGTATTTTATCATTTTAAAAGAAAAACTAATTCATGCATATGACCACTTACCTCAGTAGCAGAATATTGAAGTACATTTTTTTGAAGTATAGTCTTAAATAACTGATGGTTTTTGTGTTTTACTGTATTAAAATTTTTATATGTAATGAAGTCTCTTTCCAGACCATTGCTTTCTGTTTCCTGTTTCTTTGGCAGTTGGCTTAATCGTCTCACTTTTTTGCTGTTGGCTAAGAGCTGCAGTAAAAAAAATTGTGGGGCTTTTGTTTTTGCTGTTGTTTTAACTTACTGGGCAGAAGAAATGAAATTTTGAAATTGTCTTTGGGTTTTTTTGTTTTTGTTGTTTTATACTATTCTATCAAGATAATCTGAATTTATTTTATATTTTGTTTATGCAATATGAAGGGGTTTTTTTTTTTTTAATTAGTGTGTCTTCTTGTAACAGCACTTTTTTGCTCTAACTTTTGGTGCTTGCAAGTATGCTAATGATTCAGTTTTACATTCGGATAGTGACCTTTTTGCCTGAGAATTTGAGTACATCTTAAGATTTTGGTGGGGTAAGATTTGGATGTTTGCTTACTTTAAGTGCACACCTGCTATAAAGAGATTCTTCAGTATGTTAAGGGGGCAGAAAACTGTGGAAGAAAATGGAAAATTGTTCCTAAATGTGCTGCCTGAAACATGTCATGGAGACATTTTTAAGGGGAATTTCTTTGTATGCCTTTATGTGGGAATCGGGTCCACAGTTTAAGATAGAAACTCTTCAGGGGTCACTTAGCTTCTGCATAATCCTTTGGACACTAACCAATGCTTAGGCAGCTTTCTTGAAAAGTTGTGCTGTTAATCAGCAGAGATAAGATGGATCAATACTCTAGTTACATGGTGTTGATTCATCATCAATAGCATCTTTTAGTAATAAGACAGCGCAGTATTATCCACTTATATACCTGATACTGAACTTTTAAAAAAAAAGATACATCAGTGAGAAATAGTTGTAAAACCTAAGTAAAGAGAGTGGCAGGCATAAAAGTAATGGAGTCAGCCCTAGAATAATTTAAACTGTAACTTCCTTTTAGCTCTGCCATCATTTCCCGTTGTCTTTTAGAGATGTAAATTAGGTTTTGACTTACCTTGCCCAGTGAAATAAAAATTCTTAATTATATTCCCTGTCCCAAAGAATAAGTTAATAGCCTTGCACCTTATCTTGCGTCTGAGTGGTGGTAACTGTTCGTAGCACTGAGTAGAGCGCAGAGTTAAAATACGCTGTATCATTTTATTGCTGTTCCCAAGACTCATCTTTGCATTGTTGTGGTCCTCTCTTCTCTCTTTTTAAAGTTGTAACTTTGTAATTCCTAGTACTTAAACACATGAAAGTTCAGTGTAAAAATGTGAAAACAGCGCCATCATCTCTCACTTACAAAATAGCTCCCTAAAAAGTCTCACTATGACCTTTGTTCACCTATGTCTTTAACATTCACCAGCCGGAGTGATCCTGATAAAGTATGCCTGATCATGTCACTTCTCTTCTCAAATGGCGTCCCTTCTCAGTTATGGTAAAGTCCGTAGTCCTTATTATGGTCTACCAGGCATTTAGTGTTTTGAATCTTTTTTCCTCTGTCTTCATTACCTCACTCTTAACTCACTCCTCTGCTCTGCTACTGAGGTTTTCTCTGATTACTCTGTGTAAGATAGGCCCTCCTCCCATATTTCTTTGCCCTTTTAAGCCAAATTTTTCTCTATTGCACGTACCACTTTCCACGATACTGTATAATTTACTAACTTAAGTTTATTGTATTTTTTCTTCACTTTAATGCAATTTCTGTGAGAACAGGGTTTGTCAATTTGGGTCCCTGTTTCTGTTCCCAAACACAGAACAATGTGGTACCAAATAAGGACCAAGGTACTTTGTATTATGACATAGTGGGATTGAAAAAGCTTTGGGGTTTTCAGATGGAGATGTCTATAGGCAATTAGGTATATGGTTCTAAAATCCAGAGGAAAGGTATGGGCTGGAAAAAGAAAAATGGAGTCACTTATGTAGGTAATTGAAACTTCAGGTGGAATTGCTTAGGAAAGGGAATATAATCTGGAAAAAAGAAATGCTAAAATAGAATCACAGTGGCCTCTAACATTAAAAAAAAAGTTTGTTGGAGGCATATGAGCTTCCAAAGAATACTGAGAAGGTTGTAAAAGTAGGAGCTGAGTGTGGTATTACAGAAATCAAAGGAAAGAGTATTTCAAGGGGAGAGTAGCTAATAGGGTCAGGTGTTGATAAAAGTTGAATAAGGTGAGAGTGAAAATGTAACAACATGGAGCTCACTGGCCTTTTGAACAAGCAGGATAGTAAGCTCATTTTCAAACTGATGCTTCTATAATTGCTTATCCAGATTTAAAAGTACTGAGATCAAAGATTAAGAAATTATCCACTCACATTACAGGAGAGACCTAATGTTTACCAAATATTTACTGTATGCCAAATATTCTATTCTGTTCTAGACATTTTGCATGAATTTTCATTTGATCTTTTCAGCAGCTTTGCAGTGTTGGATGTATTAATCCATTTTACGAGAAAGGACTTTGAGGCTCTGGAGAAGTTAAGAAGTCAAATGACTTGCTAAAGAGCACTTGCTAAGAATTTATATACCCAAGTCCATCTGACTCTTTGGCCTTCAGTTTGTTTTTTACAATATCTGTTGGTCTCCCAAATTCTGCATCAATGTTGTCTAGTAGTAGACCTTCCTGTGATGATGAAGATAGTGGCTGTTGAACACTTGAAATATGGTCAGTGTGATGGAGGAACAGAATAGTGGTTACTGTATTGGACAGTGCAACTACAGACCAAAAGAATCCCATAAATAATAAAGAAGAGTCATAAGAAGAGGTGGAAGCACATATTCATCATTTGAAAGGAGTACTGTTTTGCTTATATGCTAATTTTAGATACTGTAAATGAATATTGTAGGTAATTTTCTTCTTTTTTTCTTTTTTTTCCTTCAATCTCAGACTTTCAGAAAAGTTCCAAGTGCAATGCAAAGAACTCCCCCCGCCTCCCCGAACCATTTGGGAATAAGTTGCAGGTGCATTCTCATCATCCCAAACAGGGACAAGGACTTTCTGTTATGTAAACAACATTAAAACTGGAAATTGAAATAGCTTTATCACTGCCATCTAACCCCCAAACCTCATCCAAATTTTGCTAGTTTTCACAGTAATTTCCTTTTTAGCAAAGTGATCTAGTTCAGAATTCTGTGTTGCATTCGTTTAATTGTAATGTCTTGTTAAACTCTTTCAACCTAGAACACTTCCTCAATCTTTTATTGACTTTCATGACCTCGACACTTTAAAAGGTTATAGGTTAGTTTTGTTGTAAAATGTCTCTCGATCTGGATTTGCCTGATATTTCCTTGTGGTTGGATTCAGATGGTGCATTTTTTGGTAGGAGTATCACAGTGTGATGGTGTGCTCTCACTGCATCCTGTCAGATGGCATAGAGTTTCTGTTTGTCCCATTACTGGTGATGTGCACTTTGATCACTTAATTAAGGTGTTCCTAAGGTTCTTTACTGTAAAGTTTTTTTGTTTGTTTTGGGGTTTTGGTTTTTGTTTGTTTGTTTTACTTCTTGGTAATTAATAAGTGCTTTGTGGGGAAGTATTTTGAGAATATATTTAGCCCACTCCTTATTAAACTTGCTATTTGCTGATTGTCAAACTGTCCCAGCTTTGGCCACTGAAGGCCTCTTCAAGCTACTTTCTGTATTATTTTGACTTGATTTGATCACTTCCTTACTTTTTGACACAAGAAAATGTTCCAGGCTCACCTTAAACTTTCCTTGCCACAGCCTTGGAATCAGCCATTTCTCCAAGGAGTGACTTCTTTTAGTGGAGGAATGTATTTAGAAAACAAGATTTGAGCACTGTATTTATATCTATATATAGAAAACCATGAGTTGGTACCAGTTTCTCCAATTTCAATACACAGTGTTTTTGTTTTCTCCTTTTCCAAATGTATAACTCTCTTCTCTTATAAGGAGTAACCTAGCTCCCATTATCTTTAGTGTATTTTCTTATATGATCAATCCCCAGTAAGTAGCCAGTTTCCCACTGCTACTGCTCTTCTGTCCCTTGTGTTGCATAACATTTTCTCTCTGCTTCGGCTCTGACACCTTGTGCCAGGATGTGTTCCTTACTCCAGGCTTCTCATATACCTCATGCTGAGGATCCTGCCATTCTGCTTGAGTTCCAGTACCTCACTCTGGGCTCCCTCACCATCCTTCATATGCACACCTTGCTCACGCACTTGGGCTCCAATACATCCAGGCAGAACAGCAGACATTTTTTTTTTAAAGGTTATACTTACTTGTGTCTACAAAAGATTATTACACCCAAATATTTTAGTGAAAATTAGTGATCAGATACG